ATGTTGGCAAAGTGTTTCCTGTTTCAGCAGAAATGGCTTTAAAAATATAATGAAAGCCTTCTTTGGATGTGCTGTTTGATTGCTGCATTATGTGGGCTCCTCCACAGGAGGTTTGTTCTCCTTTTAAGCAGAAACTCCTTTTGTTTGAAAGGGACCTCTTTTCAAATTAATAGTGTTGTGCCTTGGTCCGTAAGTTATCTTCCCCCAACTTTGCTTGCTTGGCACTTTGTAAGTAAGGGATGCTGTGTGTAAGAAGAAGCAACATTCTGAAACTCCTCTAGGTCCAAAAAAAATGTAATTTGTCATTATTTCCACAAAGAGGGCATAGCAGCAGCTGATGATAAGATTAGACCATTTTAACCCTGGCCCATGTGTGTTCCTATCGATTATGGCCCGCTGTGGAGGCAAACATTATCAGAAGTATGGTTAGAAACGGAGATTACAAAAAGCTAATGTCTTCCTGAGACAGACTGCAGTTGAGTTGAGAGCCAGTGTGGTGTACTAGTTAGAGTGTAGTTAGACCTGGGCGACCAGGGTTCAAATCCCCACTAGCTCGCTGGGTCAGTCACTCTTGGCTTAATTTACCACACAGGGTTGTTGTGAGGATAAAATGGGGAGGAAGAGGAAACCTGTATGCCACCTTGAGTTCCTTGGAGGAAATCGATAATATTAGGGTGTGTGCTGGGAAGGACAGTCTAGTAAGTGGAGAGAGTTGGACAATTGCATAGTTCATGGCCACAGACCGTTAAAACAGCCTTCCCCAACTTGATGTTTTGGACTACAACTCCGTTCAGCCCCAGCCAGCATGGCCAATAGCCAGGAAGGATGGAAGTTGTTGTGCAAAAGATCTGGAGGCTACCAGATTGGGGGAAGCCTGCATGACAAAAGCAAGCACATATACAAGTTAAGCTCCCCTTAGCTTTCAGAATGGAGTTTCAGCGGATATTGTGTACCACAGAATACAGTGGTACCTCGGGTTACAGACGCTTCAGGTTACAGACTCCGCTAACCCAGAAATAGTACCTCGGGTTAAGAACTTTGCTTCAGGATGAGAACAGAAATCATGCAGCAGCGGCATGGCAGCAGCGGGAGACCCCATTAGCCATGGCAGCAGCGGGAGCACCCATTAGGTGCTTCAGGTTAAGAAGAATAGTTTGGATTTGATATCCCGCTTTATCACAGACTCTGCTAATCCAGAAATAGTACCTTGGGTTAAGAACTCTGCTTCAGGATGAGAGCTAAAATCGTGCGGTGGCGGCGCAGCGGCAGCAGGAGGTCCCATTAGTTAAAGTGGTACCTCAGGTTAAGAACAGTTTCAGGTTAAGAACGGACCTCCAGAACAAATTCAGTTCTTAACCCGAGGTACCACTGTAATAATAAAAAAAGGTTAGTGAGGTCTGGAATGGTGTTGATTCTGGTTGTATTAAAGACTTGGTGTTGAATCCACTCTAGCGAAAGTGGTGGGGGAAGAATATTTCCTGCAGTTTCTTTTTCTCCTTATGACACCCACCCCACCTCCTGCCAGGAGAGAGATGGATCACTCTTGCCGGGGGTGTAAAGTGCTCTCTCGCTCACCCAGTCGGGTCATGACAAGCCACGAGTACATCCAACCCTGCCCATAGCCTCTGGGAGAAAGCATTGCATATATGCACATAAGTAAGGATATAAAGACAATGTTTTTGACAAGGCAGAACTGAGACAAAAAAGAGGGCCATGTTGCTCATATGCAATTGCATTAGTCGAGGGAGAGGCACAGTATAAAACGACTTGTAATCCAGCATATCTTTCTAGACAATCATTGCCATTTAGTGTAGATTTATTTGTTTGTTTGCAGATGAGGGGCGGCTTATAGGCATGAAATGCCTCCAGTACCTTCCAGATCCCCAAAGGCCCATGAATTGGGTAGATGGCAATTTGTAGCTTTTCAAAAAATAACACTACAAATATCCCTGGTGCGCCTGAAGCCTGCTGTTTCCTGTTTTGCTTTAGCAGCTGAAAGAAAGCTCTTGAGTCTTGCATGCGATGCACACAGTATGGCATTTCAAATGTTCTCTCCTCTGAAGTTCTGCTAATAAACATCTGTGGTTTCTTCCTGTGCTCGCTGGATCTCACTGGGGCAATCTTGGAGCTTTGGGGGAATCCTGTAGAAAATAGTTACCACGCTCTGGAGGTTGCAGCACATAGCCATGCAATTTGTTTGACTTGGTCACACTTTTCAGCTGACAGCCTTGAAGAGTTTGTTCTCTGTGGAAATAGAGCGCACTGCATACTGGCCTTTCTTAAGAGTTAGAATCAAGTCCGCTACGGTTACATGTTGACCTCAAGGTTGTAAAATCCCTCCTCTTCCCACATTGTAGTTGCTTTATTACAGCACAACACACGTTAAACATTAGTGGCCTGGTGATATGGGAAATCGGGGTGCTAAAATTAAATTCAATAATTTCCAGATGTTGGTATGAGAACTGCATGTTTTTATTAGAAGCACATAGCGACGGGAAGGGGGAGAAAAATGGTTTTCTTTTAAAAAAATGTTTTTTAATAAGGCAGTTCTATGGGATTTTATCGCAAACAACAGTAGTGGCTTGACTTGACTAAGGCATTGTTAAGCAGCAGAGCGAGGTAGGGCTGGTTCCCTAAGTCTTTCTCATTCATTGAGCATGAATTGCGGCATAGTTGATATGGATACAAAGGGTATAGAGGTAGAGGGAGCCTGCCACCCTGCATTTTTTTACAGAAGCAGCAGCATTGCAACTCTAAAAATTACATGCTGGGAATTTTAAGCAAGATTATATAAGAAATCCTATCATAGTCACACTGCTATTTGACCAAGAGATGGGTTTGGCTAAGGGCAGCGGATTCCCCAGGGCTTTTCTTTTAATACACTTGTCATGTTTCTAGTTTTATAATTTAAAAACACCTGTATTAGGTATCCTCCTAATTGATTGATTAATTAGATGAATTAATTAAAATAAAACTGGCAAAGTGAAATTGGTGTTTGTTTGTTTTCTGTTTCTTCCATAGACTTTTTTTTTAAACTCTGCCCTTTTTCTAAAGTTTCCAGGGTGATTAGTAACATGTTTGTAGTGACATTCTTTCTTTAACCAGGCAGCTGAACTTCAAACATTTTTGAGGATAGCCAAAGGAAGCCATTTCCACCGCACTGAAATGGGTGGGTAAAAATCAAATGAAGTGCTAGTTATGATTTGCTGAAGCCATGAAGGCACATTGAGCTAAGTAAAAAGAAGGGTTTTCTATGAATGGTGAATATGTTTTGGAAGATGCCAGTGGTTGTGGATGGTTTAGAGGGGGGGCGGGGGGAGACCAGGATGTGGTGTTCAAATAAAACACTGGCACATTTTGCATAGTAGTTGGTTGATGGTTTGGCAATGGACAAGGAAGCTGATACAGCATGAAATGGTTTGTTTTGATGCTGAATGCGCTTTGCCAAGGGAAGATGACTCAGAGGCTATGGAACTAAATGGCACAGTGTTGTGTCTTCATATTTATCTGATTATCACTGTTAGCTGGCTCCAAATCAATCGGAGAGTGAGTTATAAGGAAAAGTCACAATGCATGTGAAACAATACAAAGAACATGAACTTTGAATTTATTTTGCAATGAATCAAAATCAGGGCAGGTTTCTACACATGTTCCAACCAGCTTAACTAAACACCAGAGTGTTATTATAGTATTTTGATATTATGGTACACTGAAATGCTTAAATGTTTCTTTGATTGCCCTTGGATCTTCCTGCTACACTTGCCGTCCTCTCCTGCCACACCATTGTGATGTGCCACACCCTTTGAGAACCACTGTCCTACCCACTACCAAAACATGGAATGGGAGAGATAAGTCACTGACTGCTGTTACCTTCCTCCTGAAACTCAGAAATGTTGCATCTTTCAACATGCCTACTTGAGTGAGGGCATCCTGGAAGCACCACTGCAGAAAAAGCTGAGCGCTCTAAGAGCAGAAGTCTTTTGGAAGCGATATGTGGAGTATACCTCTCCAGATTATCTCCAGTGCTGCAGATGTGATGGGAAGCTCCTATGGGCGGAGGTGGTTCCTAAGATTCAGCTATGGCTTACACACACACACACACACACACACACACACACACACACACACTTGTACTCAGCTATACTGAATAAAATTCTAATTTACATTGATGTGCGCCTGGTAGGAGCTCAAACCACAGTACTTCTTCAGCGACCTCTGGAATGAAAAACATACAAAATCTCTGGCTATCACTGCAGGCTTGTGCATAGATTTGGAGACACAGGGCTGTTTTCCATAAACATTTGCCTTGCTTTAGCTTCCTGCAGATGTACTTTATATGCAAACCCCTCCACACACGTCAGCTGTCCTGCTATCTTGCTATACCACAGCCATAATGCTCTATACACAGCGTGAAAGTGTGTGGTTCTATACCGTGTTGTAGAGATTATTTGCAAGGATATACACTGCGTTTTGGGCGAGAGGGCTGTTATCAGCTTAGGCAATTGCTGTCAGATACAATAAACCAGGCACCCAGACATGTCCGTTTGTTTAGTGATAAAAACAGCATTGTTGCATAGGCGGCTTAACCTGACTGGTGTTTTTGCGTTCTAGATCAGTGCAACATCAAAAGCGATACAGTGAATATACAGTGTTTTTGCAGTTATTTGTTCCGGATTTGCAATGAAGCTATGTGATAAATAACCATTTATCTTAGTCATGCCAAGACTCACTTTTAAAATTCTAGAATTTTGCCCTAAATTCATTCACTCAACATTGGTTTCAATGAAAGAAGAGTATGCTTGATTTCCCCTCGATCACACCCTGCTTCTTTAATTCATATTAACGTTGTTGTTTGTAACTTGTGTATTACCAGTTTGAAACCTTGCGGCAGCTCAGATAATAACAGAGCTTGCTATCCAACAGTCAATGAGAGAACTGCCTAAATGTTGACCTAATCTAGTTTAGCCTTTCCCCTCAAAATCCTGTTCATTTGTCGTTTACTTTGCAGGTCCCGTGCCTATGAACGAGTGCGTGTTGTCACCTGTCAATAGCTCCCACCCAGTTCAAGCCTTGCTTGAGAGCTTTACGGTTTTATCCGGCTGCGCAAGCAAAGGGACCGTTGGATTGCCACAGGAAGTTCATGTCCTCAATCTCAGGAGTCCTGAAGAAGGCCTTGGCCACCATGAAAGAGAGGTAAGAAGGAGAAATCGTGCTGTTGCTTATGTGCGGCTTTCGAGGTTTCATTTTAAACAAATGATATTTTAAACATCTTTTTCAAATTCATTATACATCATTTCCCAGTAAGCTTTAAGCTTAGTGCAAGACCACCACATATGATAGAAAATACCTTCTTTCTCTACGCATTTCCAACACTTATTTGATTTTGATATCTACATTTTTGTCAGTTTACTTGGTGTTAGATACCACCAATGTAACATTTTCATTAGAAATCTTAGCATTATCGCATGGGATTATGGGACACCTCTCATGTTGGATTCTGCAAGGTCACAAGGCTGTGCACTGCATCAAGTACAAACCAAGGTGGCGACATTGACCTTCAGAGACTTGGCTCCTTAACCGATCTGGGCCCAAGCAGGACTCTGAAGTCAGTCACAGTTACTCAGCAAGATATTTTTATCTCACTCTTCGTCCAAGGAACTATGGGTGTGTTAATGGCATCCCATCCCCATATTTGATCCTCCTGATGAGCAGTAGCCATGTGTAAGAGGCCCTGATGACATTAAGTTTTACCAACAAGAAGGTGCTTTGGGAAAGGGGGAATGTAGAGGAGGAAGCGGTAAGGAAGAGGGATGCTTTCATTCGTGTGCTAGTCACCATTTCTTCTCCCACAAACACAAATGGGATTCTTCCTCCCCAGCAGAGATTCAGATGTCTGTTTGCAAAGATAGGGGGAGATGGAGAGGAGAAATGGTAGGTAGAATCAAGCATTCTTCTGCTTGCCACTTACTTGCTTTAGATTCCTTGTTCCCAAAGCAACTTAGTCGTGTCCATTAATTTCAATGGGCCTGCTTTGAGTAGGGCTAATGTTGGATACAACCCAGTGGATCTGGCCTCTCTTCTATGTGTTTTCCCATTGTCAGTCCGTGGCGTGCTGGTTAGAGTGGCATACTAAGACCTGAGAGACCAGGGTACAAATCCCCCACTTTAGCCCAGTCACTCACTCTCAGCCTAACCTACCTTTGCAGGGTTGTGAGGATAAAGTGGGGAAGAGGGGAATTATGTACACCACTTCGAGTTCCTTAGAGGAAAGGTAGGATAAAAGTGCAATCAATCAATCAATAAAAACACGAGAATACTCTGATAAATATTCGGCAATCATCTTCCAGGCAGAGGGCCTTCTTGGTAGTGGCACTCAACCAGTAGAACAGCCTCCCAACAGTCAAAAAGATGAGTAACTATATATATAACCTTTAGAAGACACCTGAAGGCAGCCCTGTATCGGGGAACTTTTTAATATGTAATGTTTTATTATGTTTTTATATGTGTTGGAAGCCACCCGGAGTGGCTGGGGCAACCCAGTCAGATGGGCAGGGTACAAATAAAATAATAAGAATAAGAATAACTCCTTTTACATGCTCTAGGACTTGGAACTCATCAGATTTCCAGAGTAGTTAGTTCATTCCTCACTTCTAATATGTTTAACTTCATTTATGATACGAGAAAGGAAAGGGTAACAAGAAACAGATTTTTAACAAGAAGAGGATTTTACTTTCTTCAAAGCCAAATTGCTTATGTTGTAAATTATCCTGAATGCACTTGGAGCTTTGCCACAATCACTATAAACAAATCTTTAAGTTCATATGCCTTTAGCCTTGGTAATGGATCTTCACTGCCTGTGAAGAATGGCGTTCAGAAAGCAATTGCTCCTAAATTCAGTCGTTCTTGTGCAATGTGCAAATGAGTTATTAATTTAGACGTCATATGGAGGGATTAGCAAAAGAACTTTTGTTCTAGTTGCTATGAAAAAAATAAAGCAAAAAGAAGAAATGTTCTTGATGTTAAGCTTGCTCAGTGTTGTTTTGCTCTGAGAATAGATCAAAAGAGAATTGCTGGAGAGAAAGAGAAATATCTCATCGCATGACAGCTCACGTCGCTAGCACATGCCCTAGAAAATGCTCCATGATGTAGCTGTATGTATTAGCTGAACATGAAGTTTTTAAAAGTAGACGGGGGAGAGAATCAATTGGGAGGAGGAGGAGGAAGCAAAATTCTCAGCAGCCCATTACCCGAAAATAAATGCTTTTATCCGAACCCTGAGCCGAAAAACTTCAAAGTATGCACCCCACTGCCTTCAGGAGAACTTGCTTCCAATTAAGTGTCTTTAGTATTATAGTCTAAGGATGGAATGCTGTGCCAGCACAATGCCACAAACAAGGATATTAATTATATACTGGTGTTGCAGGGACTTTTTTTTTAAGTATCACCAAAAGATTTGCCAGCACAAATATGTAGGATGGAGATGGGCCAAGGCCAGAGCCACACCATGTGGGCATTCTACCCCTATTGACTTTTGGAGTCTACAAAAATATTCCATCATTCTACCCAAATTGGCTTTTGGATTTGTTCTCTTAGTAGCTTTTCTTAAAATAATAAAAATAATAAAAATAAATCCTTGTGTTTGGTATGGTACATTTGTATGCCACAACATGGGTCTCTGTGAGCTGAGACAGTGGATATGAATTTTAGCAATAAACAAATGGAAGAAATGAAAAGCAATCCAAATTGTAGTCTGACTTCTTTTTGCAAAAGCTTGCCTACCATCATTTTGATCGGTAACCAGAAGGTCCCAGACATGCTACTAATTTCTGATCAGAATAGTGTCTCTCAAGTATTCTCATACTAAAAAACACCAAGGCCACAATCATGGCATAATTTTGTACACCTCTATCATGCTGGGTCACCTTAAGCACACCTATCTCTGTGCTAGACTGTGCTCCAGAGGATCCTTGGGTAATGCAGTGACACTCATGTTAAGAGGATACTGAAAGGATGGGGGATGAGAGAGAGGGAGAGAACAGCAGAGGAACATAGGAAAATGCCATATACTGAATCAGACCACTAGGTAAGGTAAAGGACCCCTGGACAGTTAAGTTCAGTCAAAGGTAATTATGGGGTTGCAAGGCTCATCTCGCTTTCAGGCCGAGGGAGCTGGTGTTTATCCACAGACAGTTTTCCAGATCATGTGGCCGGCATATCTAAACTGGTTCTGGCACAACAGGACACCGTGACGAAAACCAGAGTGCACAGAAACACCGTTTACCTTCCCACCGCAGCTGTACCTATTTATCTACTTGCACTGGCGTGCTTTCGAACTGCTAAGTTTGCAGGAGCTGAGACAGAGCAATGGGAGCTCACTCCATTACGGGGATTCGAACTGCTGACCTTCTGATTGGCAGCCCAAGAGGCTCAGGGGTTTAGACCACAGTGTCACCCATGTCTACCTAGTCCACCCAGACCACTAGTCCACCTAGCTCAGTATTATCTGCACTGACTGGCAGTGGCTCTCCAGGGTTTCAGGCAGGAGTTCTTCCCCACCCTACCCAGAGATGCCTGGAATTGAATTTGAGATCTTCTGCATGCAATGTTTTGCTTAGTATTAGATGCAAATGTGGCCACTCTCACCCCTTTCCAAAACCTTTTAATTTTCAAGCAAATCTACAGCCCATAAAGAATCTCCCATTTAATTTCACTCTCTTTGGAGCAGACAATTTATGAATATTCAACTATAAATTCACAGGTTGATATCGAGGATAAAGCAGCTGCCTTGCTTTGTAGTAACTCACCTAAGTGGGCTTTTCCAGAAGTGTTTTCCATTTCTGTTTTGTTTTGTTTTTTAAGAGTGTTGTTTAGTGGCCTCTTGTGTACTCCGGCATAGCACATTCCACATCCGCAATCTCTGCTTTATTTCCCGTATCCTTCTAAAAGTGGGGTTGTTGTAGCCTTTAGGGATGGCTGCTGAGAAAATGAACAGGAAACTAGGAAAAGGCTGGCTGGCGACAGTGGAAAGCAGAAGGCTGTAAACAATTGAGCTAGATCAGAATTCTTTGCTTCTAGGATACAAGGCTGAAAACAAAGCAGAGCAAAGGTTATCTTCACCCTCATTGTAAAGAACTGAGGCTTAGTGCCCAGGTTTCATTCAAGGAAAACCACAGCCTCCATCACCTTGTTTTGAGCACAGAGATGCTTCATCCCTTGAGTTGTTTCCTGCTGCCTGGCATTCTGTTTAGAAAAGGCAGAGATTTATAAGTTGACTGTTCAGTGCGTCCAAGATCTTGGCACATGAACAGTATTTTCCATTCTGTTTTTTCTTTGTATACCCTGCTAACATGTAAAGTGGTGGCAAACAAGCTCGCACATGCACCTGGTGATCTCGGGAGCATGGTGAGGACGCTCTTATTTGAAAATCCATTTCACCAGTTGTCTTGTTAGAAGTGTGTGCTTTGTTGTTCCTTAAACTTGTCACATTACAGGTTCTGCTAAATTACGGATGCCTTTACATGCTGAGAGGGAGTGCAAATGCCTTCTTGCAACAAATCCCTCATAGGCCTCATGCATTAAACATTCTTCCGCCGTTATCCTCGTTCTCATAAATATACAACATGTTGTGGTAACGTTATTTTGACACTCTCTCCGAATATGCGGAAAACAGAAGTCTGTCAAATGTAACCACTTGGGGGCATCGATGATGGTGGTGGTGATGATGATGATGATATGTTGCAAGCAGAGAGGTCGTGATAAAATTAATGGAAATGATTTTTGCCCATGCAATGTATAGCTGAAGTATTTGCACAGTTGCATCAAAAACGTTTGCTGGGTGCTGAGACGCAGGTTATAATATCTACTCTATGGAAATCCAGCCCTGGCTTTTCCAGGTAGGACTGTGAATGTCCCCTGTCTGAGAGCCCAGAGAGCCACTGCCAATCATAGGCAGTATTGATGGACCATTGGCTCTGACTCCGTATAAGGCAGCTTCATATGCATGGCTTTCCAGGCTAAATATTTTACAGCACTGCCTTTTCCACCTGATTTCCTTAGTTTTGCAGCTGTGCTGAAAAAAATGATAGAATTTGAAGGAGGAATAAAAGTGGTTTTTGTTTTGTATTTTGGTTATCAAGATTTAAAATATTTCTTAGACTTGTCAGCTGTGTAATTATATACATGTCTGCTCAGAA